GTGGCATGCACACACACTACTGGCTTTTGTCCTGCTAGTGATTAAAATAACAAGTTTATTTAATTTTATTTTTATTTTGTTGATTTCTCATTTGTTTCTCACTGGAGCTGAAGGTCTCTCATGCCCAGGAGAATTCGGTGCATCGTTCCTGGTACTAAGGGACCCATTGGAGAATCTGTGGGGGATACCTCTTGGGGATGCTAAGAAATACACGAGGAACACTGCATAAGAGGCTAGAATCCTGTGAGAGTAGGCAGCAATAGGGGCAGGGCAGTTTGGCTTATTGTTCTTAATGAGATCTGTTTCTGCCTTGAGTTTATATGTACATGAGGAAGCAGAAATTCAGAGGTGAAGTGACTTCCCAAAGTCTCCGTAGTAAACACCTAGTTTTATAATTCACCTCTCTTATAGTAATAGCACCCAAATTTTCCTCTTGGAAACTCCTACTCTCAGTCCATGAAGTTTGAGTTGTCTCAACTTTGTCCTTAGCCCCAAGGATGAGAATGAAAGTCTGCCTGGCCAATCTGAGCACGACATCTTCCTGGCACCAAATATTGGATCAGAGATGGGCATATAATCAATCAGAGCCAATGAGAAAGTCCTGGGACTTTGGCTAGGAATCACAACAGAAAGGCATTTCTCTTTTCTGCTGAAATTAGACCCATGAAGCCAGCCTGGATCTGCTGATGGCCATCTTGCCAGCATGGGGTAAAGTCTTCCTGAGAATGGAGCCACCACAGCATAAAGCAGACCTTGGAGACAGAGGAAGGACCCTGAGACACTGTCAGAGTCCCTGGACTGAGCCAGACCTCAAGCTAGTGCTACTCCTGGAATTTCAGTTACATGAGTCAATAAATTCCTATTTGTGCCACAACAGTTCGTGTTGGATCTTCTGTCCCTTGCATCTGGAAGAGTCTTGATGACATAGTTCAACATCACCTCTACCTCCTTCTTTTCCCTTCAGTCAAGTGGAAGAGCCTTGATGACAAAGCTCATCACCACCTCTACTTCCTTTACACTGCTTTACAATACTTCCAGGTTCTCTAAGTATCTTCCCCACAGACTGCCCTAGAGCTGTACAGGACTCCAGCCCAAGTAGCCCTGCCAGCTGAAGCTAACATAAAATATACTAATTAGGTTACCGTTCTGGGGTTTTTCATTGGCCAATAGAGCCAGTGGCCCCTTAATATCTTTCATTGAACTGCAGACCCATAAGATTATTATGCAGTGTCTATCCTTTTAGACTCAAGTGACATGGGAGCCCTGACCTCAGAGAGAAATGAAAAGCCCCCAACCTCCCTTACCAAGCAACCAGATTCACTCAGAGAGGGTGGTGCGTAGGGTGAAGGAGCCCTGGCATGAGGCATTGAGCCCTTTGGTTCTATCCCAAGACCACCCTAGCTGGACCCAAGGTTCTTCTCCATTTGAGTTGGTATCTTCTCCACCAGAGGGGTATCTTGGGCAGGTGGTTCTAATAATAACTCTTTTTCTCCCAGAACCACTGGACCAGATGCTGTGCAGCCCCCTCTCCCTTCTAGCTCCAACATTGCAGAATCCAGAATTTTCTATCCTGTCATGTCCAGGTCAAAAGTACTGAGGCAGCCTGGTCTAATCAAAGGGACTCTGATTTAAGTACTGAATCTTACTCTCACTTTGCGGCCTCATTTATACCATGGAGATAATAACACCTCCATCAATGAAATAATGCCGAGCATCTAGTAGGATGCCTGGCTCATAGAAAATGCTGCATATCTAAGTGTTAGGAATACTTTCAAGTTCACCTTCCACAAACAGCAGCACTTTATGATTGTGGTGATTATGCTATCGTTGTGGCTGAAGCTTGGGCAGTGGGGAATCACCCCTAACTCCAGCAAGTGGAGACTCCCCTGCTTCAGGGGGTTGCATACAGGTCAGTCAAGTGTCCAGGACAACTATATATTTTTCTGACCTCATCTTGGAACTTGACACTGGAGAATAAATGGGCCTTCAAAACAATGACTCCAGTGATCTTGAGAACCCACTGGTGATTTCTGAGATGTCCCAGGCAATGTGAGCCAGTGGGCAGTCCTGGCTGGGCCTCTGCTCATTACCTGGCTGAGCCTGGGCAAGCTGCTTGCTGTCTCTGGGTCTCCTTTTCCTATCTCTAAAATGAGGGGCATCCACGTCTTCACCTCTTACCATATCAAAACTGAACTAGCTATCCCCTGAAACCAGCAACTCTCCCTGTTTCCCATCTCAGCAGATGGCATCATTATTCACCTGGCACCCAAGCTATAAACCTGGTTGCCATCCTTGCTCCTCTCTCCTCCTCCTGCAGCTAGTCAGGTGTTTGCTGACTCCTAAATATCTCCAGAGTGGTCCCATTCTCTCCATCCCACTGCCATTCCCCTGGCCCAGGTCACCTGGGCGACTATAACAGTATCATCTCCAGCCGCCCTGACCCCAGTCTTGACCCTCTGGTTTATTTCTACCCTGCCACAGAGTTCCCTTAGATCCCTCCTGCTCCAAACTCCCAATGGTACCCACAACCCCCACAGTGATGCCAAACATAGATCCCTCCTGCTCCGAACTCCCAATGGTACCCACAACCCCCACAGTGATGCTCAAGGCTTCCCAGGGGCTGCAGGGAAGGCCTGACGTGGTCTGACCTTGGCTTACCTTTCAGGCTTAACTCACAATTGGCTACCCCTCTACTCTCTGGCTACACTGGCCTTCTCACAGGAAATGCTCATTCATGCCTCAGTGTCTGTGCTGAGACCCAGTGCTTCCCCACCCCCACCCTTTCTCCCACCACAGTCTACTGGGTTTTAATTCAAATGTCTCCTCATTAAGAACACCTTCCTTGATCGTCTGGACAAGGCAGCCCCTCCAGTTATATCTTCTCACGTGCTTTGCACTTCTCCATGGTAACCTCCCCACTTATAATGGCTTCTTCAAGGTCTGTAGTCCCTTCTACACCCTGAGCTCTGCCAGAGAAAGACCATGTCCATCTCATTCACCATTATAGTTCCAGCACCCTGGCTTGTGGCTACAATGGCAACACATCCTTGTCTTTGAGGCTGAGCTGACAAAATAATTTCCTTTTCCAATTCCAGAACAATCAGCCAGCTGTATGCCCAGCTCCTCTTGCATTTATTCAAACCTGCTTACCCAGCAATCCACAAAGGAGCTTATATGAAGTGGGGGAGGTGATATTTAGGACTCCTGTGACTTAATCCTGGGATTATCATGGGAGGCATGGGCTGGCAGGGGAGGGGAGGCGGCCAGGCGTAATGGGAGGGACTCTAAAGACAGAGGGAAGAAGAACCGGTAGATTGCTAAAGACACTTGTTTGGCAGGGATCCTCACTGTGGGTTTAATGTGCTGTGGGCTTGGAGGCCTCTCTCTTGGCCCCTGGGGTATGTTTGTGCGTGCGTGCGTGCGTGTGTGTGTGTGTGTGTGTCCATGCGCACGTTCGTGTGTGCATGTGCATGAGTGTGTTTATCTGAGTGGTGGGGGAGGAAGGAGAGCTGAGCAGTTGGCATCAGGGGTTCTTTTCCTTTTCCTTTAATCTTTCCTTTACTTTTTGAGGCTCGAATTGGATGAGTCGCAGAATTTCCTTATTGGCCAGGGTCCCTTCGATGAACTCTTCCTCTGTAAGTTTATCTGTGTATGTGGAAAAAACACTGTAGTCAGGATTGGCTGTTTCAAGCTGCAATGAGGCTGATGTCTGCCAGCATACTCCGTATGGACGTATCTATTATGAAAACACTGGGTCTCACTGCCCTTGAGGGTACCTCCACCCCCACCCCAGATACTCAGCTCCTCTTCTGGACCTCTGGATCTCCCCATGAACTAGCAACGAGAGGGTTAATGACTGCAGAGGGGTCTAGGATGCATTCTAGTGCTATGCGTCTCTTCTATGGCCAATGCCTTTGCTTGGCTGGTTATTAAATATTTTTAATGTTACCCCAGGTCTCAAGCCTCAAGTTCTGAGGGTTACTTCTGGGGACCTCAGTGAAAAGAGTCTCAGCAGAGAATCGGGGAACAGTGTCCACTCAGGGTGAAGGGAGTTAAAGGTAAAGGGTCCGATGTGGTGCCAGGGAGAGCCTGGCTCGTGGAGGGGCCTCTCTGTCCACCTCAGCATATGGGCAGCTCCACAATTCCTGGCTGACAACTCCTCCATGATTCATTCCTATATAGCTTTGCATCTCCCTTCTACCTCCCCATTTGGGACTGAGAGAGACCCTTGCCCTTACCTACTGTATTCAGTTCTATCCAGTTAAATGCCCTTCCTTTGTGCCAGACCTACTGTGCTTGGGGTTGAGGCCACTGCAGGGGCAGTTGGCAAGGTGCGGCATAGAAGCGAGTTAAATAAAGTCGCTGGCCCCAGGAAACTCTTTGTTTGGTGGGGAAGACAGTCACACACAGAATAACTAAAATGAGAAAGGTGCTCTTTCAGCTCACGGTTATTCTCATTGTTGCCTGCACGTAGTAGGTGCTCAACAAACCTTGGCTGAACCAAACTGTACTTCAATTGGCTTATGTTCCAGGCCCTTTGAACATCCTTAATCCTCCCTGGGTTAGGATCCAGACTGGTTCCCTTCACAGGTGGGTAGTGAAATTGGGTCTAAAGTCTCAGCTGCCCTATCAGCCTTACAGAGAGCTTACAACTTCCACTATCAGAGTCCGGTTCTGGAGCGAGGTGCTGTCTCTAGGTCACCCACATGAAAACACATGTCACCTGGCAGGAGTAAAAGTCAGCTGCCTAACACTGCTGTGTCTCGTGACATTCACCTGGGTCAATTTTCAGGTTAGCAAGTAGCGGAACAAGGGACTCGGCATATTGCAGACCCAGACAGATGTCGTGAAAGGGGTTAAAGGGCTAGTGGGGTGAGGTACCACAGGGAGTCATCTTAAACAGCTAGAATCAGTGTGAATGAGGAGAAGGTACTCAAGGAGGAGGTGACATCACGGCTGGGACTAGGGTGAGGCAAGAGAGGCACCTACTCTGCAAAATTTAAGGAGGCACTCATTCTCAGGATTGTGTGAGCACAGGCTGGCACCTGACAATGAGAGCCACCCTAAACGTGGGGCCAGGCACCTCACTTGCTTCACCCTAGTTTTGGCCCTACTGCCAATGACCTTCTCACTTAGTAGGGCTACTATCCGCTTCTCTCACTTTTGTCATCCTGGTCCTCCATGGCCACGTGACGTCAACTACTCTACTATATCCTTCTCATGATGGCCGTGAGCATCATGCACGAGCAGCCCCAGTTCTGGGATCCATCACCGCTTTCAATGCAAGATTGCATTCCCCATGGGCTGTATCCAGCCTAACACTGGACAGGGCAGGGTACCAAGATAGGCCAGCTCCTAGAAGAAGGGGGCTCAAGGACACCCCATCGGCTTTGCCAACGCTTTCTTAGAACAGCATTGCAATCTAAGACTTTTCTTATCCAACCTTCCTCCTTGCCGCTCTGCCCACACAGGTTGTCTGCTTTGCAGTCTGATAGTTTTCCCAGCCTCCTCCAGATCCCTTCCTGTTTTCCTTCATAAACCTTTCCCTCAATAAATCTCTTGCAATCTAATTTAAATCTAATCCCTTCTGGCGGTGCTTCCGGGGGCAACCCAGACTAACTTCCTAAGTAAAATCATGTAAATTGAAATCCCACTTACTTGGGACTGGACGCTAATTCACATGTAGACAGCTGAAGTTTGCCCTGTCCTAACTGTCCAGAAAGCATTTTTAAAAACAATAAAGTAAACCGAAGTGTCTACAAACCGGCACTCCGCTTAAACAGAAAGTGGTTTGCAGTTCCTCTAAACTTGTCATTTGCATACAAACTAATATGCTGTTGCCTTTACTTTTTACTATTCCTTCAATATAACTCTGTTATAACCAAAGTTGTTGTTGTTTTTTTTTTTTTTTTCAATAACACGTCATTTCGAGCTTTCCTTCTCCCCCATAGACTCTCAGGCCACAATGGAGTTATATAAGCGACTGGGATGTGGCATCATTGCTATCAGCAGCGCAGCTCCAGAGGGGCAGCGGCCGAGCCTGCCGATCCTTCCGCCCACACCCCCCAGAGGCCCTTCAGCCAGCCCTGCACAGGTGCATGACCAGATGAGGTGTCCTCGCGTCATTTCGAGCTTTCCTTCTCCCCCATAGACTCTCAGGCCACAATGGAGTTATATAAGCGACTGGGATGTGGCATCATTGCTATCAGCAGCGCAGCTCCAGAGGGGCAGCGGCCGAGCCTGCCGATCCTTCCGCCCACACCCCCCAGAGGCCCTTCAGCCAGCCCTGCACAGGTGCATGACCAGATGAGGTGTCCTCGCTCCTGCCCAGGCACTGGGACTCGGAAGGATAAATCTTGTTGGAATCTCCAGGAAACAGCCCGTGACTATAAAATCAAAGGCAAGGAGAGAGTAGTCATTCACCATCATCTTTCTTTCCAAAGAAGCCCCAGATCTTCTCAGCTCGCTTCTCAGGGGTATTTTCATCATCTGGAAGATGCTTCACATCCTCAGGATTGATCATTTTGAAAATTGCCTGCACCAAATGAAGAGGAACAATGCATCAGAAGGAGCGGTAGGGCCTGGCAGCCCTGGGAAAACACACGTCGCTGACTTGGCAACCTCTAGGACAGACTGAAGAGTCCCAGGCTCTACTGAATCAAAGCACCCGGGAGGAGGCCAACGCATCTGTATTTTAAGATCTTCAGACAGGAAAGGGAATGTGTGAGAGTGGTGAAGAAGGCTTTCATTTCTTATTTTGTCCCTTTTTGTATGGTTTGAATTTCCTGACTGTGAAAACATATTACTTTCATTTTATTAAAAAAAAAAAAAAAAGAAAGAAAAGAAGAAATAAAATGTTTCCTGATGATAATCCCACAGCAGCCTGGGGTTGCAGTTTGGAATTGCTACCTTGAACTGCCCAGAAGTTTTAGAATATTCTATAGCTTCTGGGTCCATGCAATACCTGGTTGCCCAGCCAGATTGGCTTGTGGTAATTACCGCTAACATTTATTGAACAATTAACATGTGCCACTTTACTAAGCATTTTTACGTGCGACCTTCACAAAAACCTTACAAAGTATGTATTACTGGCCCCATTTTACAGATGAAAAAAATTGAGACAACTAACTTGCTAAAAGTCACCCAGCTAGAAGCAGAAGAGCAGAGATTCTAATCCAGGCGGTTGGTTCTGGAACCTCCATACTTGCATTACGCCACCCACGACCTTATCCTTATGCCTTGAAGAGCATTCCAGGGGCTGGGGAAAGGAGAGGGAGTCTTCAATAAGAATTTTCCAAAGTCAGGACACAGGAAGTCCTTCATTTACTCTTCTGCTTAGGGAAGGAATCAGAGAAAGGCTTAGCATTAGGCTCAAGGATCTTTCTCACCACTCTCTGCTCTTGCTAATCAAGGAGACAGATATGCAATGTGGGGCAAAGGAGGAAGTGTCTCTGTACCTGTGATCAGAGGAAGGGACAAAGTGGTCTTGATGTGCCTTTCTAACTCCAGGTTACTTCCAGCTCAGTAACTCCAGGGCTGGCCAGGCCCAGAGAGGACACTCAAGGTTATGGCCCCCAACCCTGTCCTAGCTTGGGCCCTCAGCTTTGGGGCAGGCCTGGGGTGCAGGCAATGTGTTGGGTGAGAGTTGAGAGAGCACCTTGGAGACACCTGGGAGCACAGCCAGGCAGGGACAGTAAAGCCTGTGACATTAGCCTGGAGGGAAGATCAACAGCTTTGAGAAGTACCCTTTTAGACCTCCATGCTATAACAAGAAGAGCAAGGATATCAAACCCAGAAGCTTGGGACAGCAGCCTAGGCTGGCAGGTGCCCAGCAACTGAAGTATAGGTGACTCCCTTAACACTTCTCTCTGTCCTGAGTCATGGGAACCATGCTCAGGCCTGAAAACTAAATGCTGGGGGTGATTGGCTGCCTACCTGTCCCACCCTGCTTCTAATACCAAGGGCAGACTGTCAAGGTCTCAGGGAAAGAACCGTGAAAGAACCATCAAATGTTCACCCTGGGCCCTGGGAGGTTATATTGTTTTTCCAAGGCCATGCAACTAATTGATGGCATAGCTGGGACTAGAACCCATAACTCTTGACTCCCAGGCCAGTGACCTTGTGATCTGATGAATAGCAGAACCTTGGCACCACCTTGCACAGCCTCAGCCATGGATGCTCCC